CCCCAAAACCCCAAAACCCCAAAACCCCTACATGAAAATTTCAGTGTAATTTTTTATCAGAATGATAACTTAGAGTTTAATATCTTTTTTAATTTATTTTTAGATAAATGGTAGAATCTTCAGTATAATTTGAGCAAAATCCTGACCAAATCAATCTTATAATTTCAAAATCTGAAGCTGATCAATAAAGTATCAAAGCCCTAATTGGAACATCTAAAGTCGACTAAGAAGATAAGAGAGCATCTGATGAACTAGACTGCTCGATTTGTTTGCAAATTATCTATAATCCTGTTGAGTGCTCTAATTGTCAGAAATGCTTCTGCGAAGATTGTGTTAACTCTTGGCTATAAGCAGGTAAAAATGATAGTTGTCCGCTTTGCAAATAAAAGTTATCCGCTAAGTAACCTCACCGATTTGTAAAGTAGTTCATTGAAGATTCTTTGTTTGATGGGTGTAAGTTTGAGCTCTGTAATCAATTTGGCAAATCGATTAAGTATATTGATCTCATAAAACATTACCAATATGAATGCGAAGAAGTAAAAGTATCTTGTCCTCTTAAATGTGGAGGATTATATCAAAGAAAGTTCAGATAATAGCATCGAGATTAATGCAACTAAATTTAATGGTAATGCACATAATGTGATTGTAATAAGCTAGACATTGATGAGACACAACCTCCTCATAATTGCATTGAATATCTTAAGCAATAGGTGAAACTTTACAAGCTGAAATATGAAATCTCAGAATAGTAATTTGAGGAATATAAAACTTAAATCAAAGGTTTAAAGGATAATTATAGCTTGGGATACTACTAGAAAGAGCATTATTAAACGATTGTTCATAAATGTCCTTTGAAAATGATTGTATTCGAACAAATGCGATCTCTTCCTGGTCATGAAGGCTATAACTTAGGCTGGTGTTGCGATGGTAGGAAATTTATTGGCTGCAAGAGTGGATAAGCACTTAGAGGTGATTTTTGCAGAGATCCAGAATCTAGCATCTTCCATTGTAACATTTGCAATTTTGATTTCTGTGAAGCTTGCTATGATACCTATGGCAACGTCCACAAACATGATCTAGTCAAGTTGGCTTTTTAATAACTTAAAGAACTTAATTCTAATTATGCTGATGGTTGGAAATGTGATGGTACTCAGTATTTTGGATGTCCTTTAGGTTAAAATATTCAAACAGATCTAGACGAATTGCTATATCATGATGCATAAAACGGTTTTGATTTATGTGATGTTTGTTTTTAAAACTATGTGATTGATGAGGATCAATGATTCTTCTCAATGAAACTAAACGAGGTGTTAAGAAGATTAAATTTCATCTCATATTTAAGGAATTATTTTTAGATTAGATTTATTGTTATTTTTGAGATAATGCCTTTATGGGGTTTTGGGGTTTTGGGGTTTTGGGG